CCCTTTCTAAAATTCCTAAACATATTTAGCATGATGTTTTTCCTAGCTCTTGACTTTCCTTATTTTGTATTGGCTCAAGTAGGTACCTTGCACTTAGTAGACACTCAATAAATGTTTTTGAATTGCATTGACCTGTCTTATTGACAGCATTAAAAAGTACAGAAATTTAACAAAGTAATAAAAGATCTTGAAGTGCTTTTCCTTTGCCCTAGACATTCTCTGCAAGCCTCGGAACCAGGCCTATTGACAAGATGTAGTATCTAACAACTAATTTAAAATCAATAACAAAATTGTTCTGAAACAAACTGTGGCCAGGGCAGACAGGTGGAATGAAGCTTTGGGTTCTTCATGCATGGTCCATGAGTTCATACATTTAATGAAAGATGTTTTTCCCCACAGGTACTAAAAGAGTGAAGGGAAAACTATCAAAAGGATTTGGTGTATTAGAGGATAAACATGAAGTTGTAGGGGAGGAAGAGGAGGTTTAGGATGGAGATCACTAATATAACGTAAAGATTTATTTTGTGGTTATCTTGATGTAAATTAAAAGGTGTCAAGGATATTTGAGAGGCAGGAAATATGTAAGGATAGAAGATAAAAGCATGATGTAGTCACTCCTTTTCAGGATTTCAGGTTAACTACTACAGATTCAGTAACTCACTTAATAACTTTTCCAGGCCTTGTTCTGGCTCTTTATCAGTTCATTATTGCAGAAACATAAAGCAGACCAGCATTAAAAATTGTTGTCAAACTTGCTACTCGAACTGCCACTGGTGAATGGAACTACTAGTGCGTGGCTGTGATGCTCACTGAATTAGTCATCTGTAGTAGAAAGAGAAAAATTGATTTTAAGCATTTGGACATTTAATTTTTATTCTTCTTTTCTTCATGCCATTTGGCTGCCATAAAATGCTCAGTTAAGCCCTAATTGAATTGGACAATAATAAATTACACACTGAGACCATATCATTTACCTAATGAGTAGAAATGAAAAAAATGATGACACCCAGAACCAGGGTTTAGGAAGTCTAATGTTTACCTTTAAAATGCTTTATATTGTTTTTTCTCAGAAGTTTATAATCATATTTTTCAATCCAGGTCACCCAGCATAAGAAGTCCTTTTGTTCTAATTCATGAATATGTATGTGTTTGCACTGTAAAATGAAGCTCACAGATCATTTCTTTTAGTTGTCTGGGCATATGCTACTGTTCATCAAAAACCTGCTTTTAACCTACAATTAGAAAGAGAGGGAGTTAAGTGGTCAAATAGAAGAAAAGAGCATTATCAGATAAACTCATTCCTTTTCCTTGTCTTCAAGTGAGGATCATATTCGTTAAGTGAATTTTTCTAATGTCGAAAGATTTTCAAATAGTGCTAAATTGAAGCAGGCAATTGGGCTATTGCCTTCATTACTCTCCCTCAACTTAGTGCTCGGAGACAGAATTGTAGATATGTCTGAGAAAAATAGCAGTTCTTAACCTGCATGTAAAAATACTATTTACATAATCTGTTTTCTTTGCAAGGAGATGAATCTTTTCTTTAATTTCCTTTCAGTCATTATATTAATAATAAAGATAAAGATACAAGCTCTTCCCTTCCATCTAATCTTTTCCCCTAAACTAGGTTTTTGACTAACTAGAATCATGAAAACTAAAACACTGGCTATTCTCTCCTATGAATAATGTAATATGATCGAGGAAGAAAGTCCTTTAGGGAAAATTAAGTTTAAAAAAAAAAGGCCCTGAGATACAACTAATTCTAGCCTCAAAAATCATCAGTAGCAAGAGTACTGGTTGGTTTATCCTTTTAGTTCAGCAGCAACTGACTTAAAGAACCACAGTTCTAGTCTAATGGGACCTCATCTTTTTCCTTCATAAGTTCAGTCTAATGATACTTCAGGAAAATAGAGCTTTGGCAGCAAATAGCAATAAGCCTCTGAACTGGCATGTAGGAGTTAGCTCAAAACTAAATTTGGAAATTTAAATAGGTGCATCTCTGGTTTCAATGAAATGCTTTTGCAGGATATGCTAGCAATGTCTGTTTCTAGGCTTTTCAAAACCATTTTTCTTTTTCCTTAATTGTAGTTCCCTGGTTGTTTTTATATTATGAGCTACTTGTAGAAAAATACAGGAAACAAAGTTACAATACAAATCTCCCTTGTCTGAGGCCACTGAGATCATTTGAAATCAATCTGGTTTCAGGTTTTTGCTAACTACAAATTCAAAACCATGAATTACATGTATGCAGTGTTGGTTGATTTACAGCAAGTGTTATGTGATTAAACAATAACCATGTTTCTTCAATCCACCAACTCCCCTGGAATTGGGGGTGGAGAGAAGAGATGATTTTTTTTCATGATTCTAAATGTCACAGCACCCTCTGGGGAAAAAAAATAACATCATCTATATTTTATTGTGAAACTTATGTAAAATTAAAACCTGAGAAATGAATTAATTTTAGGGGAGGCAGTGCTGAAAAATACTTCATTTGCCTTTTTCCATTTAAAAATTATTTTGTTATTTTAGCATTTCCCTCCAATAGTGTCAACTTTTCCTAAAGATACGGTATCCATTATTCAGTGTGCTAGACTGTGCCCCTAGGGCAAGACTCTAGTTGTTTTATTAGTAGTTGCATTTGGGAGTAAAGGGGTGTTAATAATGAAATAAATTTGTACAATTTAATGAGTATTGAGTTGATCAGTAAAAAACCTGGCAGATAACCATTTTGCTATTGAGAATGATAGCTCTAGTAATAGATTATTTTATCAGGCACTACTTTATCTAAAAGTTACAAGATTGTTTCTACATTTTATAGAAGTAGAACCAAAAAAGACAATAGTGTCACAGACTTAGCTGTAAAAATTGTGTTCTCACTATGCAATACAAAACGTTACACAGGCAATTTGGATTTATACCAAATATCTTATACATACCAAGTTTTATGGAAATCTGCAGAAAATATTGTTTGGTGTTATATCAGGACTTGGTTATTTATCATTTTCAATTGAAATAATTATTTTAAATTTCTAAATACCTTTAAAGCATTAAGAGCTTGAAGCATGTTTGTATTGGCCTTTATTGGCTTTTTATAAAAATCCAGCTGTTTTTGCCTTTCCTTAAAGTCCGTACAATAAGAAAGTCTATTTTACCTATAAATGGATAGGTACGCAGGCTCCATTGATAAGCTAAACATTGCCTCAGACATTTAAGACTAGATTTCAGATGATTTTCTCAATTACAGTCTAGTCTTAGAAAACTACAATCTTGTTTTAAAGGAAGTAGTGGAAGAGCTTTAAGGTTCTTCTGTTTTTAAATTTTTAGTTTATTCTTCCATAATACAGCAGTTTAATTATCTCCACCAAACAAATGAAATCATTGCATTTGTCAACTCAGAACCTTCAGAATAGCTCTCTTAGTGTGTCTGTGTGTGAGAGTGTATGCTTTATGTATTTATGCTTTTCTGTTTTCACACTTAAACTTCCCACATACACACTTTGATAAGGAACTGTCCAGTAGTCTTTGTGACTCGGCTTGAGTCTACCCATCGCCTGGCCCCTTGCTGCACAGAGGCACACTTGAACATTATCACGTTCCTGTATCACTGGAACACGCGTAGCCTGGGAAGGAGCAAATAGAAGATACTATCTGAATAGTCTTGCTAATGCACCTTTAGAGAAATTCCATCGGCTTGGCTTTCAGAGACCCAAGCCATAGGCCAGCTACTTGTTTATTAGCCCCACCGCTGGTGAATAGGGGCAGAAGGGAAAGAAATAAAAAAGGATACAATGGGGAGAATAGAAGTGAGTCAAGTGAGTTTACCACAATCAAGAAAGCAGCCTGCCCTCTACATGGAAGCATCTTTTCCACTTTGCCTTTCCGGAATTGTAATTTACCGCTGTAAAACTGGAGTATAAAAGAATTTACACGAAGTGGTTTTGAAACCTGGACCTACCGGTAGTTCAAAATAAATGTTAATGCAGTCAAGACTGGAACTAGTGCGAGCTTGGTTTCTTGTTTGTTTGTTCTGTGACGCTTTAGAGAGATACAGTGAGCAAAGATAACTCCAGCTTCCCATCTCTGACCCCAGCTAGCCTAATTAAACGCTCATTTAGACACAAGGCAATGCATCTCGAATTACTTGTCCCTCTTGCATGGATGTTGACTTTAGTTTAAAATAAAAGCATTCTCGTGTCAAAAGCTTAAGTTTTGTCATTGCCAGCAGAACACTAGACTTCGAATGCAGGACAAAAGCTCAGGACTGCTCGCTTCTAATATTTTAATTTAACGGGGGGAAGGGGGGAGAGAGAGAGAGAGAGAAAGAGAGAGAGAGAGAGAGAGAGAGAGAGAGAGAGAGAGAGAGAGAGAGAGAGAGAGAGAGAGAGAGAGAGAGAGAGTTGATTTATTTCTGTTTTGCTAGAGAGGTTCAATAATTCGAAACAGTTCTCACAGTAGCGTCCATGACAACTTAATGTACAAAAAAAAAATCACCATTAAAGCGTCAATAGGACTTGATGGGGGGAGCAGGGAGAGGAGGCAAGGGAGAGTGGAAAAGAGGTTGGGGGAGTGGGGGCGAGGGGATTGATTGCTTTTTATGGTTTTTAAATGGCCTGTGCAGTGTATTCTTAAATGCAACTTCCAGATGATTTATAGGTCCATGAGCCTCAACTGAAATTGCACCACGGGAGCAAAAAATGGAGGGGGGCAGAGGAGGAAAAAAAAAAGGAAGCTGAACTGGGTCTGCGCTTGTAAACTGCGGCGTGAGAAAATTCTGCTGCAGCCTAGAGATGTGTGTGGACTTTCGGACCGAGGAGTTTGGAAAAACGGTGGCAGGCTGGGTGTCTGTCAACGTGTGGAAACTTCACCTCTCCTCCTCTCTCTCCCCCTAAACTGCAACCTGTTAGGGGGCCAGGCCGGAGAGCTCCGAGGCTCGTTAGCAGACAAATTGTAGGGACTACTGGGAGGGCGAGCGGGGACCTGGGGGTGGGGGAGGGGGAAGGACCAAGATGCTTTAGATTAGAAGCCAGGCAGGCAGTAGCCTGAATCGAGCACTGCATGGAGCAAGGACAGATACACAGCACCCCAATCCAGGAGTTTCTCTTTCCCATTTCCTTTTTGCACAGGATTTTCTTCAAGGAGACTGCACCAAAGCAAAACAAAAACTAAAGTGGAAGCCTCGGGTCGCTTTTGATGTAAGTTTCTGTTTTGTAATGAAATGCTTTTTTTCATCCCGCTGAGGGGAGGGGAGTGTGAGGGAGAGAAAAGGCAAAGAGTGGGGGGGAGACTGGAGACAGACAAAGTCATAGCATATAAAATCGACTTAGGGATGTGTTGTTTAGGCGGCTGGTGATATTTTAAAAGAGGTCAAAACTCATTTTCTGAGCACTGAAGGCGTAATAGTTGTGTGTGCCTTCCTTAAGTGTTGCAGTTTTAAGTAATACAAACACCGGCACAAATTAAAAGTTATCTTTTCGAAAGAAGAAAAGAGGAACTATCCTACAGAATACTGAAGCCTTCATCGGAGACTTGATTTCGGGGAGCTCCCCCGAAGGACAGAAAATGGACTAGCTTGTCCTGTGTTCCTTTCAATAAGGAATACATTTTCCTGGGCTCTTTTCTTCCTGGAGCCCTGGGCTTATTGTATTTACTGATTCCTTCCTCTTACACATTGTAGCAATCACTTTTTATTTATCTATCTATCTATCTATCTATCTATCTATTTATTTATTTATTTATTTATTATTATTACTATTTTGCAAATAGTATTATTTCCCACCGAGTCCTGGTAAAGGGTATGTTTCTCCAGCTTTTTTCTGTACACTCGAATAATCCCTAAGAAGCCAGAGCTCAGGGAGAATAAGCATTGATGGAGTAAGGAAAGGGCCTACCTAGGGGAAGAGAGTTGGGAGAAAATTGAAACAGACTGTAGGGACAGCTCAGCCGATGTCAAGGGATGGGATTGGCCGGAGACTGTTGGAATAGAAGGTTAGAGCATCGCCTGTCTCTCTTTCCACATGCAGGAACTGGTGAAAGAGATGGTCGAGGCTGATGTAGCTCTCATGAAGCACAACCCCAATGCCTAAGCTGACTTCTGGTCCCTGTCGGGGCGGCTGGTCTCCTGAAGAGATGTGATCACCTTACCCAACCCTCAGGAGGGTTAGGGTGGAGGGATCATTTTTCCCTTGTAATCAATCGGTGGAGGGTATCTGACTGCAGAAGAGGGGCTGACAATTGATGTAGTGGAGGAGAGGAAGATTTAGTCACGTCCAACACTGATTTTTTTCCCCCAATTCTCCGATGCCATTGATTGTCTCTCCTTCTCTGGAAAAAAAAAAGAATCTTTCACTCCCAGAAAACTGTAAAATCGAAACTGTGACCACTCCAATGCTTGGTTCCACAATTATCTCATTATAGATGCTTTATCTGAAGGATTTTATGTAATTGATAGGATGGTTTTAATCACAAATCATTCATTTTGCTTAAAATTACGTTGTAAGACAACAGAAATTAGGGGGCCTTTAAATTGTCTTCTTTTTTCTTATTAAACTGGTCTTTCTACAAATCAGGATCAAGAGAGTATCTGTTTCCTCTAACTCCGGTGTGAAAATCAACAAAACAGAAGCCTATTCACACACCCCTCCATTTTGTTTTCTTCTTTTGAATCCTCTTACCATTATCTCTCCAATTTCATTCTCTTAATTTGTATCAAGTCAAACTTTCCCCTGCCCTTCACCCTTTAAGCTCTACCCCTTGGATAACCTTCTTCCACTTGTAACTCGTTAAATTTCAGTCAGTTGTTAATATAACTCAAAAAGTACAAAAAGCCATTTCCTGACCTGACTAACTGAGTCCTTAGCTGCTGGAAAGCCAGGCAAAGAGGCCAGCGAGGGCTTCAAACGAAAGGCAGTGTTCCTGAGGATTTTTTTTTCTAGTGACAATAAGCTCCTCTATCCAGCCACAGTTAGAACCCAGTTCCTGCAGAAGTGAACCATTCACATTCCATCCTGTTTCTGCTTACTATAATTAGATCCCATAAGAGACTTTGAACCATCTCAAAAGATGGCTTAACAAAACTGGGGGGTTGGGGGAGAAAGAAAAAGAAAAATCTTAAAGGTAAGTAAATATTGTTGAAACACTTTGTGCCAAAGTACCCAGGTTATCCAGAGGTCATGAAGGCCATACATTTCCCTTTGGTGTAGGATTTTTCATGCACCTATTATTTTCATCCTTTTTCTCATCATTGTAGTCCCTTCTCCTTCAAATAAAAAAGGATTCTAGCTTATCAGTCAAAATGACAAGATCTGAGCATTGCCTGGAACCAGTTTATTACACTGGCTTCTAGATTCATTGTTTGAGTTCATAGACAATATGCACTATTTATGTAGCTTTCTGGGTTTTATATACATATACATACATACATACATATATATATATACATATATATATACACATATATATATATATATATATATATATATGAAGTGGATATATACACACATGCCCACAGTACAGATATATACATATATGTACATAGGAAAATACGGAAATATTAAAGTACTATCAAAATCATATATCAATGTAGAAGTAAGTCACTGAAATATTGAAGTACATGTATATGAAACATATATACACATTCATGTGAAATGGATGTCTATTCACATATACCTCTACAAAAACACAGGTATGTATATCTTAAATATATATGTATGTAAGTAATACCTTGTTTATAGAACTATGATACATCAGTTGCCTTATGGAAAATAAGGACCAAAGACTAAACACCATCAATACCCTCCCAACGAAGTATTATAAAACTTTATGAGAAATTAAAGTCTCTTAACATAACCATTTGTGTATCAGACAAACCTATTTCTGAATATATTCAGGGGCAACTTTATGATATAGAGAGGGAGAGGGTAGTAATGGAGGTGGGTGGGGAGAGTGACTGAACTGAGCTTTTAACAGTCCGTGAGTAACCAGGCTGCTGGAGAAAGAGGGTTCTTTGTGTGCCTCCGTGAAAGGCAGCAGGCAGTCTCCAGAGGTGCAATGGAAAAAGTGTGTGCTTCGAAATGAGGTGGTTTCAGGGTTAGATGGAGCAGAACTGGGGCCGAGCTGTGCAGAACTGGGCTTTCAGATGCAAGGCTGGGGAACAGTGCGCTTCTCTCCATCCTGTGCAGAAGCTCCATGGTTGCTAATTGGAAACAGATGGTTTCTTGAAGGCTGGTCCTACAAGACAGGCCTTCAAAAGTGCTTCCCTCCCACCCTTCTCTCTCTCTCTCTCTCTCTCCTCTCTCTCTCTCTCTCTCTCTCTCTCTCTCTCTCTCTCTCTCTCTCCCTCTTTCTCTCTCCCCCTTTCTCTTTCTCTCTCTGTGTCCTTACCCCCCTTCCTTTATCTCTCTCTTTAATCTCTTACACATTATACATCAATGTGCATTATTATTATATTATTATTCCACACAGGTGTGCAGGTTCCCATTTTATTTTAAGCTCCACAAAGTTCTCTCTTTTTACCTGTCCTTTCTCATTATCACTATACATACTTTCGGTCCTCTACACACATGAATAAGAAATTGTCTGGCTTCCCAGTGGCCCTATTTAATCCCAAGTGGGGGTATAGAGCAGAGGCAATATATTGTGGCTTTTTAAAACAATCCCAAAGCCATAATAAGCTTCCTCATTGAGGAAGAGATGAAATACAAAGCAAATTCTTAATGCAACAGTAGCAAAGCCATAATTTTAAATTATAGTTCTTAAAATGGACTATAACATTAGTTTTTGAAGGGAAAAAAGTTTACACAAGATGGATATCAGGAAAGTATTTTCAGATATGACCTTTTGTGCTTCCCTTTGGGTCTCAATTCTGGTGGTCCTATGGGGCTCTTTTGGCTTCATAGCCTCCCAGGGTGGGGGTAGGGGGTTTACAAAAAAGATCTTCCATATTTCTGTTTTCTTTTTTGTTCTGTGAGAAAAATTAATTTGGATAAGCCCCATAAGAAACCTACTACTAGATTTCTTTAATTCTAAATTAAAGAGATAAATCAGCTTCCAGGAGTTATCAACCCTTTTTCTTGGAAAGCTCTTTAGACTGTGTTTAAAGTAGCATGTATACCTCAATTTTTATTGTGGACTATGAAGGTGATGATCACTGTATTAATTGCTTTTTGAATTGTTAGAGGTCAAGGAGGAAGCAGAATGGGCTAGGAGCATCTTTTTCTCTTGGGACCTTTCAGTCTTACCTACCCTTTGACCTACCTGTGGTGATGAAGCTCATGGGCTCTGTGATGGCTGGGATCATTTTTCAGTTCCAAGAAGTATAGGGACCCAGATACTTAAAGGTTCTTGGCTTAAGTCATTATGACCCAGTAGTCATAAGAATAACAAGCCTGTCATACTTTTGCAGCTATTTGGTGGCAAAAGAAAAAATATGTATGTTCTAGTTGGGAACTCTAAACAAAATATCAAAATACTTTGGAAAACCAGGAGACTTTAATGAAATTCATCTCTTATGAAAAGTAGAGCTTCCTAAAGGTATGTAAAAAATGCTTTGGATAAATCTATACTATCTATGAGATAGGATCGGTTCTGAGATGGTGAACTCTGGGGATCTGGGTTGTTGTCTACCTTGCTTTTCTTCAGTTATTGGCAGCATAGGCACAATCTAATGCTTGGAAAGTTAGTAATTTGTCCTTAAATATATTGTTGACAAATAAGTTTCCTTGTTGTGAGATATTATTCTAAAATACTTTATTTTTATTTATAACTTACAACTAATTCCCACTCAGAGAATTCAGTCCCCATGAATGTAAGTTCACACTTCATATATTTTCTGAAACCTGCCACACTGTTTTCCCCACAAAGCAAACCATATTCCTGCAAATCAAGCATAGAGGAAAAGAATTGTTCAGTGCACATAGTAGCCATTCTGAGGGTTCTCACTTTAACAAAAGATCTTACTTATGTGTGTAAAATTTTGCATATGTTTATTTATATTTGTGTTTTGCATGAGTTTTCATGTTTTCATAATTTGTATTCACATTCAAATGGGCTACTTGCCCCCATTTCAAAGGTTTTAATAATAGACATTTTGGGATTAAAAAAAATGGAAACTAATGCAATGATTTAAAAACAAAACTAACCTTTCAAGTCCAAGTTAGCTAAATCAATTGTTTATCCTCTCCTCCTTAGCCTCTACCCCAGCCTTCCCACAACTATTACAGTCCCAAGATTATTTCCATAGCAAACAAACAGGAGATAGGGACTGATAACTTGATTTCTTTGGGGGTGTCAAAACTGGCAGGAAGCTACTCAGGTATGATGAGGTCCTAGGGCTTTTGGTGGACTAGGAGGAGAGCTCAGCAAAATGGGGGGGGGGTCATACTGGTGCTCCTAAAACTAAGCTAAGAATAAAATGAGAAGGGAATGAACTGCCTTTCCATAATCCTGCAGTGCCCTGAGTAGTTTTGAAGTTGAGTCACATCTCAAGGAAGAAATATGCAGATTTTTTTTTTCACTAATTACTCCCCTCCTCCAACCTAAATGAGCTGTGAACTCTACCTGGTCCTGAGACTACTAGGAAATGCAATATTAGAAAGAAATAAAAAAGGGGGAGGAAGGTGTTACAACAGGTCATCTTACTCGCTCCTTCTTGAACCTTTCTTAACAAGCCAGTTTTGTGGATCAAAGAAGATGGACAGTGTCTCTCCAACATTCTCCCTCCCATCCCGTGCATAAGAGGAAGGGGTGGGGGGAGCCCTGGCATACAAGTACACACATATTCACTCATCTGCACATACAGTTCTTTAAAAAAAATCACCATCATCAACCCTACCCTGAGAGTCAATGTATTGAACTTTCTCTCTTTCTTTAAGCCCAGACCAGAGTTCCCCATTTGTACAACACTCAGAAGTCATGTAGGAGTTGTGCTTGCCAAAGTTTTGAATGTCTAACACTGAGAATTATTACTAGTGGCTATATCTCCAGGCCATTTCAGCTCTTCCCGTACCTCCCCCCTCTCTTATAGCTTGTCAGTACAAGAGGGCCTGTGCCGAGGGACTGAAAATCCTGAAACAGTAACAGTCTTGGATTAAAACTCTGCTGGCCTCTTCCTGGCGGCAGCTTGTATGCCGCCTCCCCAGCTTACAGTTCCAGTGGCCTTGAAGAGGGGCAGCAAAGGAATGCCTGACCGCTTCCTGCTCCCCACTAACACATTCCTCTTTCTCTCCCCGACTCTGAGCAGCTCTCTCCCTGTTCCCAAAAGAGATCCTGCTTGGGCCAATTGGATCTTTGGGGTACAAGATGGCTCCTTCTTTTGTGAGTCCTTTGGGCCAACCTCTCTGCCTTGGGAAGGAATTGTACCAAGTCTCTGGGGAAAGGGAAATCTCTCAAAGGGAAAAGGATTTGCTTGACCTACCCCAAGGGTTCTATCTGGTCAGTCCCATCCTGTTACTTAGATTCTCTACTTTTCCTCTAATCAGAGAGCTCACAAACTGCAGACATCCTAATTACAGACTTCCCTTATCTGTAAATACAAATGCATTTTACATACATACATACATACATATATATATA